CGCATGCGAAAGTTTCGCAGCCACTGGGAATCGTCCCAGACCTGCAACACTATGCGTTCCCACCAGTCTGTGCTTGTTTCCCAAGCCCAGAATCGGCGTTCCACAGCATGAACCTGCCCCATTAGCACCATGATGCATGCATTGGCAGGGCCCATGCTTTCAGAGAAATCTGTGTCCATGTCCTGATCACTCACGTGACCGCGCTGACGTCGCCTCCTCGCCCGGTATCGCTTTGCCAGGTTCTGGTGCTGCATATACTGCTGGATAATGCGTGTGGTGTTTAATGTGCTCCTAATTGCTAAAGTGAGCTGAGCGGCCTCCATGCTTGCCTTGGTATGGCGTCCGCACGGAAAAAAGGCGCGGAACGATTGTCTGCCGTTGCTCTGACGGAGGGAGGGGCGACTGACGACACGGCTTACAGGGTTGGCTTCAGGGAGCTAAAATCAACAAAGGGGGTGCCTGTACATCAAGGAGTATTTCAGGCAGGACTTCACGGAGGGTTCCAATAAGAAATGGTGCACCTAAGTTATTGTTCTTATTGGAACAAGGAGGTTAGCCTGGCCTCTGACTGATACATGCCTAGATTTACCTCACTGCACCTTCTCTGTGAGTGACTGCAGTGTGACCTAGAGGAATGAGTCCCCTAGACAGGGGAGGAGGCAAATGAGTACAAAACAAATCTGGTCTATTTCTTGTTTTGACCCACTCCATCTATCTTTTACATCTTTGGCTGGCAGCAGACGGTGCAGAAAGACTGCATGCCATCCACATCTCATGGCTGCTCGGCAGAAGATGGTACAATACGACTGCTAGCAATCCTCATCTCTTGCCTGCCTGGCAGAAGATAGTACAGTACGACTGCTAGCAGTCCGTATCGCCTGCCCGCTCACCATAAGACGGTTCAATAGGACTGACTGCAGGCAGGACTAAAGAGAATGACCTGGTCAAGTCACTCCAAATTTAGTCCCTGCACCCATGTCTGCCCAGGCGCTCCCAGCCGACGTGGCCAGGAGCACCTCGGACATGACGATGACAGCTACCAGTCGTACTGTACCGTCTGCTGCCACAAGGCAAGGGGTTGCTGCTACTGTGTAGCAATGCCGTACCGCGTCTGCCAGCACCCAGGAGACATAGGGTGACGGTTACCTGAGTGGGCTCCATGCTTGCAGTGGTATGGCGTCTGCACAGGTAACTCAGGAAAAAAGGCGCGAAATGATTGTCTGCCCTTGCTTTCACGGAGGGAGGGAGGGAACGGGGGCCTGACGATATGTACCCAGAACCACCCGCGACAATGTTTTAGCCCCATCAGGCATTGGGATCTCAACCCAGAATTCCAATGGGCAGCGGAGACTGTGGGAACTGTGGGATAGCTACCCACAGTGCAACGCTCCGGAAGTCGACTCTAGCCTCGGTACTGTGGAAGCGCTCCTCCGAGTTAATGCACTTAATGCACTTAGAGCATTTTCTGTGGGGACACACACACTCGAATATATAAAACCGATTTCTAAAAAACCGACTTCTATAAATTCGACCTTATTCTGTAGTGTAGACATACCCTCACACACATATGGTCCAGCGCAGCACACACTTGATTCAATGCAGAAATACTTTGGGTAGCCTCTTTGCCACATATCAAAAGCAGTGCCATGAAGAGACTAGCCCTGCCTCTGGAGCCTCAGTTGGTTAGTGAGCTAGCTGAAAATCCCACCCTGACTTCCTGCTGCTAGTGCTCCACCAGTTGGAGGATGGGATCTGGGAAAAGGAGACTGCACGGTGTGGGCTACAACCGCGGACTATCTGTTGCTGCTACTGTAGGCCCAAAGAGTCTGACAGGCCAGGGAATAACCCAGGTATGTCTCCAGTGCGAAAGAGACACTCCTAATCTGGGGTGTAAGGTTGGAAGGACATGTTGGATGTCTGCAGGTTGGAGTGTTATTAATTGAATTAGGATTCCTTTATTTGTTAGGTGTCCGCAATTTACTGCACTATACCTCTACTGTATAATAGCTGTGGGTAATTAACCACAAGTGACTGTCCTTAATTGTTCCTCTTAATGGTCTGGGTTCTGTCCATCCCAGAAGTGGCTGATAAAAACAGCAGGATACATCTGTGTTTTGTAATATCCCTAGGTAAATTTCTACTTCCTCAAAGGTTGCCAAAGGATTATGCACCCTAGGCAAGCGGGTGATAATTTGGGATGATCCAGACAAAAAGACCTCCAGTTCATGCTTTATGAAGGATTTTCTTTGACAATGGATTTTAATCTGTACAGCACAAAAGAAGGCTCACTTCTTAGGTACAGCTGTCATTCAGCAATCATGGAGCTGGTCCTTAGAAGTTACTTTATTCTCCAGCCCTGATTTTAATTTCTATCAGCAGAGTGCAGTTTCTGAATTGTAACATTTGAGGCCCTTGATGGCCTTCACCGACATTGCCAGCAATGAGCACTGGAGCTAATGATGGATCATCTAATGTGAAAGGGCTGTAGGGTGACAGCATCATTTTGCATCTTGAATCTGTCACTTCCATGTTGCCTAGCTGCTAGAATCCTGATTCTCTCAGTGCAAATACCTCATTTAGCAGCTCAGCATTAGCCAGCATAGTTGAGTGCTATGCATACCTGGCATTTACATATACAGCACCACAACATTTCAGAGTGCATCTATCCCAGGGGTGGGCAAACTTTTTGCCCCGAGGGCCACATCTGGGTATGGAAATTGTATGGTGGACCATGAATGCTCATGAAATTGAGGGTTGCAGGAGGGTGTGAGGGCTCTGGCTGGGGGTGTGAGATGGGGCTGAGAATGAGGAGTTGGGATGCAGGAGGGTGCTCCAGGCTGGAACCAAAGGTTCAGAGGGCAGGAGGGGCACCAGGGCTGGGGCAGGGGGTTTGAGCATGGGAGAGGGTCACGGGGTCAGGGGCAGCGCTTACCTCAAGCAGCTCCCAGAAACAGCGACATGTCCCCTCTCCAGCTCCTATGCGGAGGTGCAGCCAGGCAGCTCTGCGTGCTGCCCTGTGTGCAGGTGCTGCCCCTGCAGCTCTCATTGGCTCTAGTGGCGGGGGGGGAGGAGGGGAAGGAGCCAGAGTGGGGATGTGCCGCTTCTTCCGGGAGCTGTGTGGAGTGGGACAAGACCCCGACCTCGCTCCCTGGCTGCAGCGCTGGAGCAGGGCAAGCCCCAGACTCTGCTTCCCGGCGGGAGCTCAAGGGCCAGATTAAAACATCTGGAGGGCCGGATGTGGCCCCCGGGCTATAGTTTGCCCACCTCTGAGCTATCCAGTATATCCTTATTTCCATTTACATAAGATCATGATCCAAAACACCATATGCTGGCACCCATTCACTTCAATAAATATTTTTGCAGAGCAAGGAGTTCATATGCATCAATAAAGTAAATATGTATACAAGTCTGGTGAAAACCACCACACTGGTGTAAACCCAGTATGGCTTTGGGTTGGAAGTGAAGAATCCCTCCTCCAGGGACATTTTTATTAATTTGTGTGGGACATTAGTTTGAGGAAAAGTGACATCAGATCTTTAATGAATGAGGAGGAAGGATTTGGGGATTATAAGCCTACAAAAAGAAAAACACCCCCGAACACCAGAATGGCCCATAAAAACTACACTGATTCAAAGGGTAGAGAATACTGCATTTCTAACACCTCTCCCTGCAATACCTCAATTTCCCTAGAGATTTCCGATATAAGTAGTGACCGGAATTGACCCTGATAATTTATGAAAGTTGATTCATTTTCTCTATATCCCAAATAGTTACTGCTGGGATGCATGACATTTCGAATAACCCTGGTACCCTTAAAAGATGGTGAAAGGGGGGATAAGAGAACTCTGACGTCTGGTCATCAGACCCTTTGTCATAAGTTCACAGTAATGCCACATCAGTAGTGACCAAAAGTAGTTACCATCTAAAGACTACATGGGGACCTGGGTGAAGTAAATTGGTGCACTCAGTCTTCCTTCTAATGGACAAGCATCCATAAAACCCACCACCCTTGCACTCAGTTTCCAGTTCCCCCGTGCCTTTTCTATTTACATTTTGTATCTCTGGGTAGATAGAGATTCATCCACATCCTTTTTTAGTACTTTGGAATTTGTATTCCTTGAATTTTTGAGTTTCAGATTTGAATGGAGCTGGAAACCTATAATAAAGTCCTGTTTGAAACCACCAAGTTGTATCTGGCTTCAGGTCAAAATCATGGGTCTGATCCTGAACCCCAGCTATGAATACCCTGAACTTTCCCAATTCAAGCACTGCCACTCGGGACCATCTCTAGCCACCAAAGAGATTTCTTTGTTTTTCATCCTTCTCCATCACTTGGCCCAGCCTTGCTCACGCCTGGCCTGAATTTTCAAAAATATCTGTGAACAATTTGACAAACTTGCCCTAAGTTTTAGGTTTGTCTTGAAACAAGAACCAAGCTTGCTTTTGTGTCATCTGGATGTGTTAAATGGATATTACATGGGTGATTTCAGCATGCTGTATTGGGCCAAGCCCATACCTGGTGTTAGTCAAATTCTACACTGAGGGAATTACGACCAAATGAAACTGGCCCATTATTTGTTCGCATCTTAATCCATTTGTTCAAAAGCTATAGCATCATTTTGGGAATGGAATCTTAGTGCCCTCTAGTGAGTATCAGAGGCTGAGGCACACTCTATAAACTGTAAAAAGAACAGGAGTACTTGTGGCACCTTAGAAACTAACACTTGTATTTGAGCATAAGCTTTCGTGGGCTAATGCTCAAATAAAGCTTATGCTCAAATAAATGTGAGTCTCTAAGGTGCCACAAGGACTCCTCGTTCTCTTTGCGGATACAGACTAACACGGCTACCACTCTGAAATCTATAAACTGTGTTTCCATTTACATTGTTTCACAGGACCCTGAACTTAAAATGAAAAGACAGTGCCACTAAGATCTCACCGCTGTGCGTGCCCCACTGCAAGTCTACCCGTTACTCAAAATGAAGGCAGCAGTCTTTTACCTTTCAAAACTGGTTGGCTGTGTGATGGTGTGAATCCTTGTTGGGCAGGTCTTGGTGTCCAAATACCTAGGAGCCCTCATCTTCTTCACTGTAGCATCCAAACGCCTGCTCCTCATGTCTCTTTTCTGTTTTCATGAGCAAGTCACATGGTTCCACAGGGCACAAGGGAGCAGAAAAGGGACAGTGTCTCCATACATGCATCTTTACATGCCTAAAGAAATCCAGAGCAATGCAAAAAACAAAGGAATATCCCAGAATTTTTATTTGTATTATAGCAGTGACTAGAGACTCTAAACAGGGACATGCAATCAAGTGTGTGGAATGACTGCCCACGGAAGGGGGCTTCCACCCTGTCGCCCCGCATGAATGGAACTGACAAGCAGGAGGGAGAGCAACTTGTCAGAGTAACTGGGTGATTCACGCTGACATGCTGTGAACCTGAGCAGTACCCATGTACTCAGAGTTTGAATCCGGCACTGGGCAGCTTTCTGACAGCATGTGTGTCAGTTACTTTCTACTTACATTCTAGAGAATGAGGATGGCCTAGGGGTCAGGGCACTACTCTGAGACTCAAGTTCAATTCCCTGCTCCATCACAGACTTCTTGAGCTTGAACAAGTCACTAAGCTTAACTGTGTTTCAGTTTCCCATGTGTAAAATGGAGATAATATTTCTTAGGTGTTAAGGATCAATACATGGAAGATTGTGAGGTGCTCAGATCCTGATGACGGGGTTCATGTAAAAATCAGTGTTTTAACAAAAGGAACAGATGCTCATGCATGGATGTAAATTTGTGCCTGAAACCCAGAACCCACCTGATAGGGCTAAATTTAATTCCTTAAAATAATCCTTTTACAAAAGAGTTCTCTGTCTCTGCCTAAAAGAAAAATGGATGTTTAACATATTGATTAAAAGAAATGTGGTGACTGGAACTGATTAAAATGTTCATCAGTTTTTTCAATGAAAAATTACTTTTTGATGAATGGAAACTTTCATGAGAAAATTTCTATTAGGGCTTTGTAAAAAAACAAAACAAAAAAACAAAAAATTCAGTTTTCAGTTGTTGAAAACTGAAAATTTCAGTGAAAAATTCCTAACGGAAATGAAAACATTTCATTTTCTTCAAAATTTAGTGGAGAATAAAATACATTTTTGAACTATGTTTTGAGGTAACAATTAATGGGACACTTTCAATTAAAAAAAAATCACACTTTTATAACAGTCGTAAGTATTTAAATTCATACAGGTTACACCAAAGGTTACTGTAACAAAGATCAGAGACAAACTATTTCTCTTTCTTTCCAGTTTCTTCACTTTGTGCATTCAACATTTCTTTGTGTATATTTAGTTTCACTGTTTCCCTTATACAGTCGTCTTCCTCCCTTTTGGTTGTGTGGTCTTACACAAAACAGGGAGGAAAACCTTTATAAAAAATGTGATTGTACTGCCACCAAAATGGGGAAAGGGATTTAAGGGCAGCTATAATAGCTGAAACTACTTCAAATTCTATTTTTTAAAAGCTGACTAGAGTAGAAATTGAATAGAGCTTAGGAGTTATGAGAGTATGATACAGCTCAGTTGAGAGGCTTGGGACAAAGAGGCTTCTGTGTGAGTTATTGGAATTGTAACATACAGTAATTGCAAGAAATGAGAAAATGGCCACTCTGATTGCATTGTTGTTTGTAGACACAAACACAACAACTTTACAATCTAAACCAGAACTGACTTGGGTTTGAGGCACAAGATGAAAATATCAGATATACATTGTCAGTAAATATGAATCTCTGTAGTCCTTTTTTTCTTGTATCTTACAGTTATTTGCATATTAACCATTCTCCCAGAATCTGTATGATATTGCAAAGAGTATCTTTGAATTCTAAGGCCCAGAGCATTAGTTCTTAACCTGTGAGTGACCTGTACTCAGGAGTTTTTAATGTGATTGAGTGTTGGGTTGTATCTAATTATCAGCAGCAGCTCCAAGTGTGTGGGAATATAGATGTTCAGGGAAAAGACCCCTCAAACAAATAAAAGTGGCTACAGAAGTATGTTATAAACAAACCTGGGTGACTGATAAGGGATATTTGTTATTGCAGATGAGCTCTGTAGTGGATAAAATAATCACCCATTGAAAAATGGGTAACTCATTAAGAACTGTTGGTTGTCACAGTTGTTAGTAATAATGACCAGGTTAGAGAGTCCTTTTTACTCATCAATCAAGTAAACTGAGGATCATACAAGAAATTTCATGAGTAATTAAGAAACAGAACACATGGTAAAATGAATTATGGGAAAGGAATTTTTCCTCCAAAAAGCAGTTTCTTTGTCTCACACCCTATAAAGGGGACTAGTGTTGGAAAGTTAGATTGAGAATGAACACTATCAGCATTGCAACCAGGTACAGAGAAAGGGACCAAACTACCACCTCTTCACCATCTACAGGGGTATGTCTTCTTTCTGTATAGTGCTGTCTGCATCTTTGATTAATAATCTTTGACTACATAATTCCATTTAAGTCTGCTAGCTGAGCATCTCGAATCATTATCCCATTCAAACAAGTAACAACAGAATGAAACCAACGTGGACGAGTCAAGTTCTTACTAATACCTCACGGAAGAAATGTTAAAGCAGTTGGCTCTGAGGATTTTAAACTACAGTGGTTTTCACACGGGCTAGAAAGAATTTTAAATGTTTCAAAAGTTGTTAGCAGATATTGAGTTGGGGCATGTGATGGTGGTGATATTGCAGGGCAATCACGGAAGCTTTTAGAGTTGAAAATTCCCTGAGAAACTTGATGATTTTTTTGTGAAAACTTAAAAAGGAAAAAATGTCAGTACAAATTAACTGAACATCAGAGTGAAAATCCATGAGGGGATGGTTTAATCGGGTACAATAATTAGGTTACTGCCAGTAACATTTCATCTGTAAGGTGGACAAAACCAAAAAGCAAGTAAGAGCCATAGCAATGAAACCGTGCCTCCTCTAAATGATATAATGGGGGAGAAAGAGGGAAAGCAGTGAATAAACTGCTCCAGAAAAAGAACTGCAATCACAGCAGTACGGGCTTCTGTGTGGGCTTGTCACCTGAATAATTACCTAGAGTTCTAGGAGTGCTTGTACAGCTCATAAGAACGGCCACACTGGGTCAGGCCAATGGCTCATGAAGCCCAGTGTCCTGTCTTCCGACAGTGGCCAATGCCAGGTGTTTCAGCGCGAATGAACAGAACAGGTCATCATCAAGTGATCCACCCCCTGTCTCCCATTCCCAGCTTCTGGCAAACAGAAGCTGCCGCGGCTCCACTGCTCCAACTTAGACAAGCTAAATTAAAGCTAACTCGGGTATGTTTACGTTAGTTGCAACCCCAGAATAGAGATAATCTGGGGCCTGGTCTACACTACCGTTAGGCTGACATAAGGCAGCTTATGTCGACCTAATTATGTCAGTGTACGCACTACGGCCTTGTCCTGCCAATGTAAGTGTCCTACTACACCAACACAATAACTCCACCTCCGCGAGAGGTGTAGGTCTTATGTCTGTATAGTTAGGGTGATGCAGTGTTGGTGTAGATACTCACTTACTTACTTCCACTGTTGGCTGTCTCGTCAATTTCACGGCAGGGAGGGGCTGGAGCGGGGACAGGAAGAGGCAGAGTGCAGGCGTGGCCTCAGGGCAGAGCACCCACCCGGAAAAATAAAAGCCAGCGCCTTGGCCTCTGGGTGAATGAATAAATAATACTTTGTTTTGAAGATGCTGTTTGTGTCACTTCAAACATCTTGTCACAAGTTCCTGAAGAGAAATATCACTGGAACCAAAAGCAGTTGGTCCTGTCACATTATCATGGTTCGGAAACAAGGGTGGGCTGCAACCCAGAGGGCCAGTCTCCTAATGCTTGAACTGCAAGTTTCCATGAAGAGAGGGGTGAAGGTCATGAGGCCTATCCCTTAAGGGATGCGCTTGAGGGACTAAAAGGGATCAGTAATACACAATAATGCTGATACATTTACTGTAAGTTTGTATCATTCTCCAAAAGTAGCATGTTGAAATCTCATTCTATTATTGTATGGATTATACAGTGCACAGGGAATAATTTACGTAATATCGCTCAAGCAAGTGGTCTTCAACAGAGCTTTCTGAAAGACTAATTCATCTGGACCTGGATTCTTAGAAATATCAAGTGTTCTTTGCAAGATGATTGAGATTTGATGGGGGCTCTGCATCTTGCAGGATTGGGTTTTTAATATCCTAAGAACAGGGGGGAACAAGTGTTGGGTAAGAGAAGCTTTCACCATCTTCTGGTGTTTGGATCTCAAATTTAGGATAAAAAAAAAGGTCAAAACCTTACCCCAAGCAGAACCTTCACACCCTGTATGGTGCACCGATTATGAGATGGGAGAGATCAAAAATGTTTTGCTCTTTTATAATTAGAAACTAAAACATCAGTGAATTCTAGTAAGATTTTTTTTGAAGTCATTCCAGCCTCCAAACTCACACTCAGTGTGTCCCACTGAGAGCTCCCCAAATCTTTTACATGCTTTCATTTGCCCCCTTTCCTCTTTCACACAAAGACAGTTGTGTATTATCCATTTACAGAAAGGGAAGTTTAAATCATATAGTGGGAAGCCACAGAGCTTTCAGGCTGTAAAGTGCTTCTCCAACTCCACTTTACTGGACAGCATTTTTTTTTCCAATTTGTGATGTTTTATTTAATGTTAGGCAGCACCACGGTTGCTACTGCTCTGTCAGCTGTTGCAGATTCTCACGGTCAGTCTGTCACTACCAGAAAAGGTGTAGATCTCTACGTGTATTACAGTCTGCCTTGTCGATTTGTTCTAAGGGATCTGTTACCTGTAAGACAAGCTGCTATAGACTTCCTGAACAGCCACTGGTGGTGAAAAGCTGACATCTCCCAGAGCTGATATATCCCAAGGATGCAGGCCAGTGCTAAAATAAAACATACAAAAAGTAAAATGAAGCCAAAACACTTTCCAGAGCTCTCACTGCTTTTGAATCTAAAATATCCCTATCAATTACATTCTCTTCAAATGAACTGAAATTAGCCCCAGAGGAATTGTGGTTTCCATTTAGTCTTTTTTTTTTCTCCCTTGAGTATAGTTTTCTCTTATTGCTCCCGCTTCTTTCCTTCACATTTTATCAAAATCTCTTTGCCTCGCACCCTCACTGCCTGCCCCTATCTCACTCAAACTGTGAGTCAGATACCCAAAACATGATACTAAAGAAAGAATTGAGATCTTATTTGCTTTCTGAATTCTGAGCCTTTTGGGGTCATATTTTCCAGATTTCTTTCACAATGACAAGGGCTAGAAACAATGATTTTTTTTATTTTATTTTTGTTTAAATTCTCACATGAACATCTGACTCCAGGAGCTGAAGAGTTCAGAAATACACCAAATTTGGTGAAAATTAACAACATTGAAGGTTTGGCTGAGCATAACAATTTTAGAACCTTCTGAAGGTCCCCCATCATTAGCTTTAAGTGTAGTACTGTTTTGATGAGCCTGGTGAGATTTTCCATTTACTTCTGATTGTTACATTATTTTAACTTCTTGTTACCAACACTAATCCTTGAGGAAAAGGCCTTGCTGACCACAACTGTATTTTTTTTTCTGCTTAGTCATTCTGCTGTTTTACAACGTTACCATCTTCATTAGTTCAGAAGTATTCATTTTATGTCCCTCACATTCTTGTTGTAGCTGTTAATGTAACAAAAATATTCCTTGACTGCACAGAACAGGGGCTCTCTAGAACATCCTATAGTCACAGCTGTCCCACTTTCCAGTGAACAATTTTTTGCTCACATCTTATGTGATTTTAGTCAGCTTTGTCTCGATAGATGCCCAAGACATCCAAGTGTGTGCACGCCTGACAAGCCTTCAAGACATCACTTCATGGGCCATGGTGTAGCGGTCCCTTGCTCTCAAGTGGGGAGGGAGGCCTCACTGCATCAGGCAGCAGCTCGGGTCCCGCTGGCAGGGCCAAGCAGTAAGTGGTAAGCAGTCTGTAGCTTGTAGCCTCCTAGCAGACGCAAATAACTGTTAACTGTCTGGAGCTCTCAACTTTTTGATACCAGGGACCAGCTGCCTTCCTAAAATGTCAGGGAGCTCTCAGGGACTGGTGCCAGTCCACAGACTGGTTGTTGAGAAATGCTGATCTAAAAAAGTCTAGAAAACTCATTTAGCACAGTTCTGTAACGGTGGTGTCCCTCTATTGCTGGACTAAAAAGATACTGTTTTGATGCACTGTAAGTAGTATCAACAAAACTAGATCCAACATCTCAGCAAAGGTGACAGAATAAGGCCTGGCCTACACTGTGGGCGGGGGTGAATCAATCTAAGTTATGCAACTTCAGCTACGTGAATAACATAGCTGAAGTCAAAGTACTTAGATCTATTTACTGACACTCTCCCGTCAACTCCGCCTGCACCTCTCGCCCTGCTGGAGTACCGGAGTCGATGGGAGAGTGCTTGGCAGTCAATTTATCATGTCTAGACTAGACACAATAAATCGACCCTCCCCTCCCCCCGCCCCCCACTGGATGAATCGCTGCCTGTTGATCCAGCGGGTAATGTAGACAAGCCCTTAGTTACTGATGGGGCAGAGTGAAGCTAAACAGCCTCGCAATCCATTTAACAGAGTCCCATTGCAGAAACAGCGACAAATAGCCAATAAATATAGGTTTCAGTGTAGCAGATGTGTTAGTCTGTATTTGCAAAAAGAACAGGAGTGCTTGTGGCACCTTAGTCTAACACATTTATTTGAGCATAAGCTTTTGTGTGCTACAGCTCACTTCATCGGATGCACACTGATGAAGTGAGCTGTAGCTCATGAAAGCTTATGCTGAAATAAATTTGTTAGTCTCTAAGGTGCCACAAGTACTCCTGTTCTTTTTGCCAGTAAATATAGTTAATGTTTAGAGAGCACTTAGCTAAGAAGCTGAAAGTATATCCCTGTTTTTTGGCCAATTCCTGACTTACTTTTCTGAGGGAGGGCTGCTCGCTCTCCAGCTATCACAGTGTTGGGATTCACTGAGTTCATTACCCTCTACTGCTCTCCTGTTCTCCTACAAGTGGTTAAGCTTTTCAGATCCTTGCCTCCTGCCGCAAGAATAGGTGCAGCCACTTCAAGCTCACTTTAAGTCACTCCCTGTTGACCAACTAGCAAGGAGTGTAACTAGTAAGCAGCTGGCACCATCTCAGAAAACCAAGACCATCTCCAGCTGGCCTTCATCTGAACCTGATAAGTAAAAGCAGTGAGGGATCTTAAAAAAAATAAAAATAAAAAAAAATCAAATCTAGATCCTGCACATTAAAAACAAAATGCACCCAGTACTATCAGGGTAAAATAGCATTGTTAATTTGACATGTTGTGATCGACTGCATTAGGTGGAGTACCTGTTAAATGAACTCTGGGATGTGAAGTATTATCCGAATAATGCATCACATTCTCCCCAAGTCTACAATTTAACTTCTTCCAGTTCAATGTTCTATAAAACAAGAACACAAAGAAGATAAATATAAAATATGCAAGCATGGCTCTCTTTATAAAGAAGAGGAAAGCGGGAGCTGTTGTATGCAAGCTTCACTATCTGTAGCTGTTACATATTGCATATTTAGTTAACTTTTCAATTTAACTAAAAAGATTTCAGAGGTCTACAGCTGCTCAGAAAAACTCTTGTGATACAAAACATAAATTTGTAGAGCACAGCAATTGTATGGATCTAGTCTTTTCCATAGGGAAAAGCTGTTTCAGTTTTGTGGAGCAACATTAACAGCTGTTTATCAATGTATATGTTCTAATGTTTTATGTATTGGTTCTTCCAGAGTAAGCGATATACATATGAATAAAGCCATATTCAGTGTTAGGTTAGTTTTTGTGATTTGCCAGTACAAATACATGAAGAATCAGTGATATAATCTGCCCTGTGGTACCTGACACTTCCAAACACAGTCTCTCTGGGAGACCTGCTTTTAACATTTTTGCTGATGTCCTCAAAACTTTGTGAGGCAAGAAATACAAAGATTGAATGGCAGATGATACTTATTCTATATTGTAAAAGTTCTGTCAAACTTTCTCAGTTATTAGAGTCCCAAGGCCCATCTCCTGATCCTGGGGTTGAAGTGGAGAGAAAGGGAAAAGGTAGTACCACTCGCTTAAAATGTCAAAATTAGACTTCTCGGATTGTGCAGATTTTCAGAATTTGACCAATGTATTCTCTGGGTAGGATTGCCAACATTGTATATCAAAAATAGTACCCCTGCCCCACCTCTCCTCCTAATAGTAATTATGTACTATTGATAATAAGCAGTACTAACCTACATTCACCAAGAGTATTTCCTGCTGCTTTTTGCAGCACTCGGCTACTCCCGATCTTGTTGTACAGAGATGGAAAAAATAAGGGACGTCCCTTGTAATAAGGGACTGTGGGTAACCCTGTTGGTAAGTGGTGGTATCTGTCAAACCCACCTACTCAAGGCACTAAAATATCCTTCCACTCACTGAATTGTCCGCATCTTCATAATATGAAACACGCTCTCCTTTCCTACATGTGTAACAATTTCATTGCTTGGATGTTTGACATTGAAAGTACCGTTTGCATTAAGATGAATGGGCACTTTAAGTTTCCCAGAGCTACAGTTTCATGCTCTCTGCAACTTTGGAGACATTGCTTCTTTGGTTACACTTTGAACACATTTTCAAGGCTTTTTTCACACCATAACTGTTAGAGATTGACTTTAAGAAGAAAAATGAAAGCTGAGACTTGAGCAGGATGAAAGAGGAGCTAGTGCACAGTACTGCCACAAATGGTCCTCGCCCCCCACCCCCTTCCATTGGGATGGAATACAATACAGTAAGTACAGGACTGAACATTAACACTGGTACGACAGCAGCTGCTAGCCTCCCCAGAGGGAACTAGGAGTGCAGTGTCTCTTGTAGCAGAAATGAGTCAGGATTCTGTTGTAATGAACAGAAAGGGGACCCTTAATCAAGACACAAATCCAGAGCCGTGACTAGAGCGGGGTGAGAGGGGCGGGAGTGAGCCAGCAGGGGGCATAGAATCAAGCCCAGTGGCATCAGCTCCCCCTCTACCCCCGGATTGGGCCTAGCAGTGTCGGTTTATATAATTATAGTGCGTTCCTAAATCCTGGCCTAAACTGAACAAACCACCACAGGCTTTGGATCAGGCCCCTGCTGCGTACTATTAGTAACTTGCGGAAGACATTTGTTTAAATGTTTTTAAAATGATGTAACACTGTCCCGTTAAGCCCCTAGTTGCCTGCCTCACAATATTCTAGGTGAAACATACTTATCCTTATCTTAATCCTCTCTCTCTCCTTAATTCAAGATGGATTTAAAATGTGCCTAAAGGGAATTCTTATATTCAGATACAAACAAGTTTCACAAAATTTCAAGAATTCGTCTCAAATCTATAAAGATAATATTTATTTGCCCCTCTCTCTCCCACATTCCCCCAAGGTGTCCTTCTGAGAAAGACATCTTACTAATAGTCAATATGAAGGTGGTATTTCAGTTCTTTTCTCTCTTTCCTTCCGTCTACAGACATAACAACCTTTCTGGATAATGGGGACAAACTTTTGTCTGACAAATGCTAAGGATCAGACCATTCAAAAGAAAAGGGTATCAACAGAACTATAAATTCTATTGTCCTCCCAACCAAACTGTTACTTTTATCCTGTATATACACAGCTGGAGAGGATTTCTATGGGAAGGATTAAAAAGCCAGCCCCGAAATTCAATGGCTCAGTTTGAGCAATTCATTCATTCTTGCCTATAGCTATATTTATTTGAAAAGAGCCTCCATTCTACATAGATTTTCAACAGTGATTTAACTTTCTGTGTTTGACTGAAGAGTATTATGCAGGCTTGATTTCAGTGAATAAGTTTCTCAAAAGTATTGGTATATTTTCAGAATACTGTATACCCACTAATAAATTTGGAACTACCTGTTGTTTCATCAGTAATCAGTTGTAATTGCTTGCCAGAATTATTATCCTCAACACTTTCTCTGTTCAGTAGGTCTCCTAACCTTTGGTAAGCTAGCTTCTGTTCTAGGGGTAGGTTGCAAGATAGGGGTAGGTCTGCAGCAATGGACGTATTTTCCTATCCTATCACAAACAAGTGGGTTGAGTTTAGTGCATAATCCATTTTGTCGTAGAATGCTTCCTATATGCTCCCTTCCTTCTCTCCAAGGAAGGATTTTAACTATCATAACCGACACAAGTTTATTTTCTAGCACAGAGTTAGCATTCACTTCTGTTCTATTCAGGTTCTTACACTGCATTCATCCCTGTAGTATCGGAGGCTCAGCTCCACAAAGGTACTTAGGTGCCCTAACCTCAGATTTAGGCACCAAAGGCCCAAATTTAGGTGCAATTGTGATCCACAAAACCCCTGCTTGGCTGCCACCTAAACTTGTAGGCGCCTACATTCACTCAGTGCCTACATTTTTACTGTAAAAGATCCCTAGGCACCTAAGTTTTAGCCTCTGGGCATGCATACTGCTGCCTCCTTCTGGCAGCCAGATGCCTATTTCAGCAGTTCTCAAACTGTGGGTCAGGACCCCAAAGGTCGCAATTCCATTTTAATGGGGTCATCAGGTCTGGTGTTAGACTTGCTGGGGCCCAGGGCTAAAGCTGAAGCCCAAGCCCCACTAGGGTTGCCAGGTGTCCAGTTTTCGACTGCAATGCCCAGTTGAAAAGGAACCCCGATGGCTCCGTTCAGCACCACTGACCAGGCCATTAAAAGTCTGGTTGGTGGTGCAGCGGGGTAAGGCAGGCTCCCTGCCTGCCGTGGCTCCACATGGCTCCCGGAAGAAGCGGCATGTCCCTGCTCCAAGCCCTATGCATAGGGGCAGCCAGGGGACTCCGCACGCTGCCTCAGCCTCAAGTGCCAGTTCCGCAGCTCCCATTGACCGGGAAGCACAGCCAATGGGAGCTGCAGGGGTGGCGCCCATATACGGGGCAGCGCGCAGATCCGCCTGGCCATGCCTCTACATAGGGGCTGGAGGGGGGAACATGCCACTGCCTCTGGGACCTGCTTGAAGTAAGCCACCCGCAGCCTCCACCACCCCCTATGCCCCAACCTCCTGCCCCAGCCCTGATCCCCCTCCCACCCTCTGAACCCCACGGCCCTACCCCAGAGCCCTCACTCCTCCCACACCCTAATCCCCTGACCCAGCCCCCTCCTGCATGCCAAATCCCTCAACCCAGTCCCACCCCAGAGTCTACACCCACAGCGGGAACCCTCCCCCCCCCATCCTTCCCCCACCCCCCAACTGCCTGCTCCGGAGTTCCCTCCCACACTTTGAACCCCTCGGCCCCAGCCCCCTCCTGTACCCCAAATCCTTCATCCATGGCCCCACTCCATAGCCCACACCCCCAGCCAAAGCCCTCACACCCTCCTGCAACCCAATCCCCTGAGCCAGCCCGGTGAAAATGTGCAAGTGAGTGAGGGTGGGGAGAGCAAGTGACAGAGGAAGTGGGAGGACAGAGTGACCAGGGGCGGGGCCTCAAAGAAAGGGCTGGACAGGGGGCGGGGGGGCAAGGGTTTTCAGTTTTGTGTGAGTAGAAAGTTGAAACCCTAAGCCCCACTGCCCAGGGCTCAAGCCCGAGCCCCATCACTTGGGGCCAAAGCCCGAGGGCTTCAGCCCTCGGCAGCCGGTCTCAGATTACAGGCCCCCTGTCCAGGGCTGGAGCCACTGGGCTTCAACTTTGCCCCCACCATCTGGGGCAGCGGGGCTTGGGCTGTCCCCCACAATCTCCCAGGGCAGCAGGACTCAGGCTTTGGTCCCCCCTTGTGGGGTCACGTAGTATTTTTGTTGTCAAAAGAGGGTTGCGGTGCAATAAAGTTTGAGAACCGCTGGCCTATTACATGCCTGAGCTCCAGCGTGATCCACACCCCAGGGGAAAATAGGTGGGGTTCACCTATCTTGCCTACAGAACCCAATCTGGAGCACATCTACCAAATCAAGACCTATTCAAAATCTGGTGGTGGAGCCACCACCTCCCACCCCCTTTATAACTAGAGCCTTGTGTGGAATTATTTTTATTTTTTACAACGTTTCATTTTATTTTTCAGGAACTTCCTGTTTCATTTTATCCAAGGTAAAGGGGAGGTCCAGCCCTGTGCACTCACCCTGCAGCTGGGGCTCCTGTCCCTCAGAGCTGGACATTGTGACTTGATGCAAAGGGTCACAGTGCCACTCACTCAAATTTGGCCCAGCTGTCTCTCCGTCATGATGACAAAGGGGTGGCTGGGCCAAACCTGAGCAGCACTGAGACCCTGTGTGCTGGCTCACAATGTTCGGAGCAGGGAGCTGGACCCTGCCCCAAGGGACAGGGACTGCGGTTGTGGGGTGAGTTTTTCATTTTAATAGTTTCTTCATTTTATTTCACATGTGTGAAGAACACAGGGCTCTACTTACAGCACAGAGGGTAGACCCCCCGCACCACAGAATGGGGGAGA